GTGGTTCGCGCCGCCGAATGTCGATGTACAGTACCATTTTATACACTACCATATCACATCAATTATTGAAGCGAATTCCACACATCTCATCCAGATACCGGATGCGCGCCTACGAGATATACTACGATTCTACGTGTTGCAGCACAAAAAGAGCGCAATTGAGGGACATAAAGTCATGGGTCACATTTCCCGTAGAGTCAACTAAGGCCTATACAATCCCAAACCTTAATAATCCCTCTAAACCCTCCAGCGCAGCAAAGCGTTAAGAGCCCCTTAGTAGAGACGCTTGGGAGGAGACATGGTAGCCTTGAGGACAAGGCTACCAACGTTCTGCCAGCCCTTCTTGAGCAGGGAGACGAGGTAGTTGATGGCCAACATGGTGTTGGCGACGAGCTCATCCTCGGTCATGCCAACGTTGCCGACGGCAACACCCAAGCAGAGAACCTTCTTCAGCTGGAACTTGATGGTGGCCTTGATCTCGTTGATCTTGCCAGCCAAGTCCTCAGCGTGGGAGACGGGGGTAGGGAACTTTCCGGCTGTGGTAAGCGTTAGTTTGCATGTCACTGCCAACAATATGCTTTGTCATTGGAGGGGGGGGAAACATACCCTTGGAAAGACCAGGACCCAAGAGACGGGGGATCTGCTTGATGAGGGAGTCGGAAGCGACGAAGGCATCGTACTTGCGAGCGAGCTTCTTGATGAGCTTCTTGTTCTTGTTCAGCTTCTTGAGGTCATCAGCGGACATGGCGTCAACACCGAAGTGCTTGGCACGGTCGAGATCGTGCTGGTCACCGAGAACACTAAAGTGCGTATGCCGTTAGCCTGGATGTTCTCCAATCCTGGTGGTTCTCTCGTGCTTTATGCATCCCCACAGCACGCAGATCTGTCGCACAACACCCTCTCCATTCGACCAGTCTTTTTTCGGTGGTTGCCACATACCAGATGCTCATGTTGGGGCGGGGGATGGTGGGCAGCTTGATGGTGCCGGAGAAACGCTTGTCACGCTGGGGGTCGTAGTTCTTCAGACCGATCTGAAGCTCGACGGTCTCGAGGAAGTTTCTCTTCTTCTCATTCTGAGAGTAGTTGAGCAGCTGCTCAACATTCTGGCGCACTCCGGCTGCGGATGGACAAAAAAATCGCAGGTCAGCGGTTTTGATACACTTGATTTGGCTTTTTGCACTCTCGTCTCTTGTTGATCGAGGCGTATTCGTGGATGCAAGGGAAAATTCACATACCGACTGTGATCTTGGACATCTTGCTGGACAGTCTTCCAAAAGAACTCTTTCAAATTCCTATGGTGTGGCTCTGCGCTGAATGTTGGTCGACAAGCAAAAGGGAAAAAAACTCGACTACTTCGCCCCGTCGGCCGTAGAGAAATTCCCGTTCTCCGCTTGTGGGCGTGTCTCGCGCTAGCCGCACTGGGGCTAGCGCTGCCCTAATTCATGCTTCGGGCTGATTCAGCAAGCTATCAATGACTAAGCGCTGCTCGCGTCTGGGTCTCAGCCAATCATGGCACACTGTCCACGCGACGCTCCCGTCTACATAGTACCGTAGGTGCAGTGGACTGCCCCGCGACACTGAGAGAGTAATGGATTTGTCGATGGGTTAGGATTATATCACATTGTGACAGGAGAGATGCTCTATAACAGTAGCGAAAATTGAGTCCCCTCAGTCTACTCCTGACTCCTTGTAATCATCATGAAAACAAGTAATCCAGATCTCATCCCTTCCATCTCTTCTCATATGGTCACGACGCGACACCGTGCACCAGGCAAAAGCCATGCCCTAGGTAGGAGGGGGCCATTGAAGGTTCAGGTCCAGGTTACCCCAGTCCCATATTTGGCCCAATTCGCACATATCAACGCTGAGAAGACCTTCCATCCCAGCAAATTCGCTGGTTCCTGCTGCCAAGGGACTCAATCCTAAAGGTAACGAATAGTTGATGCCAGCTTCTATAGAGCTCCACGGCAAATCCAGGTCCGTGGAAGCAGAGGTGGCATCAAAATATGCACCAGATCCTAGCGATGTCGAAGGAGGTGTAATGGGTCCCTCTAGGGATCCGTCCGACGACCTGGAGAATATGGCCGCCTTTTCCTCTCCAGTCAAAGTCATACTGCCCGCAAGCCTGTTAAGTACCGCATAGCAGATGGCACCGGTCTTTGTGTTCTCGGATATCTGTTCCAGCGCTTCGAGAGCCGTCGAAATTGCTCCGATAGTCTTGTCTCGGCCGGGAAGAGTGCTGTTGTGATCATGGATAATTGCAGAGCATAAGAAGGCTGCTGTATCAAAGATAATGAAGGGGGCGTAGTGGAACTTGGCGTTTGCAGGTAGCATAAACGCTAGCATCCGCTGCGATGATTCCAACAGCTTCAGTGCACAGTCGACAGCAGTCGGTCGAAGACTCCTCGCAATGCTAGGCTTGTCTTGATCGACAGTCATTGTGAGGCATGGCTTCAAAGGCAGAAACATTACCATATACCCGATCGCATGTAGCTGATGCCGCTGTATTGCCACGTGTTTGTGAGATTGATCCCAGCGAGTGTCGGGGTTTTCTGGTCTGTATGGCGCGGGGAGGTTCATAAACCACTTCTCAGTCTCTTGTTGGATGGTAATGGCCTGTGCGGGCGACAATAAGCCACCCATCACACCGGGTATCTTGGAGATAGTCTGTCCGAGCTCACATTGGAAAGTCATGTGAGCGATCGGTGAAAGCCCGAACTCCTCGGGATCAGGGCTCTCGAGGCGTAGGTTTGGCAGTTCAAAAGAGCAGTAGTTGCTGTTGATGATGAATGGTCTCGATAATAATAGAGACATTTGCCTAGCTTTGTCAACACCGCGGGTATCCACGACCAACCAGCACGAGCTTACCAATCCCAAGTATACAATATGCACCAAATTCGCCTTCTCATTTCGCGTTCGAACTCTGAGGCAATCGCCTTGGATGAACTTTTGTGCATGCCTATCGTCGACATTCAAAAGTCAGCCTATATATTACGAAGCTTGAAGTACCTGTATTTACCTAATTCCTGCGCTTGGTGGATCGCAGCGCCCAGAGCATGCCATGACTCAACAAATTGTGCTTCACTTTTGTAGTAAACTGCATTCAGGAACAGTTGTTGCACTTGAGTCAGCCCGCCTTTACCAGGTGCAATGGTACTGCTAAGCTGCTTGGCAGCATGATGATACTGTTCGGCAAGATTCTGGGCGTTCTCCCCGAGCTCCGTCTCCAGCTTCTGTCGGGCATTAAAGTCCAGATATAAGGTTGCGCAGGCGCATATGTGTAAAAGCAGGCAAGTAAACTCGGGAGTCAACGCCTGACCCGCCGCCTTGCCAGACCACCAAGTAGCATAGTCGTGCGAGAATGTGGGCGGGTAAAGACAATAGTATTGAGGATTGATCTCACTGAGAAAGTGCTGTATTAGGATGTCTGATCATGCATGAGTGATTGCGTAGGGTTATCGTGAGTTGGTTGGTTTACCTGTGTATGGTTTTGGAGGGACTATACGGATGGCTTTCTCCATCTCCGGCTGAATAGTGCTACAGGAGACCGGAGATATCGCGGCAGATTGCTGTCAAATCAACAGTCAGTAGATGGTGGACACAGATCCATATCACGTTAGCCTTACATATCTCTCAGCACCCTGAGGTGTCGCTACCTCGCTATCAGGAAGGTATCCGAGCATACGAAAAGCATTGTCGTTGGTGATTGCCGTGATTGTATTAGAACTCGAAATTTCGTGATTCGACTCTACAGAAGCCGTCTGTGGATTATCTATGCTGAAGCAGGTATTAGGGACCTGTATGAAACTAAGAACGGTGCCTATAGCTCACCTTGCGTTGTTCGTCATAGACCTGGTCACCTTGAGCGCCATTTTGGGGGGGAATTTGCATAGATGAGCCACTCTTCTTGCTTGACAATGATTGCATGGCCAATCGCGGCTACACTGTACAAAGGAGTCGTCAGATAAGGTGCTCTTTTATGAGAGAACTAGATTAATTAAGGCTGACTTGTGTTGCTTGCCTTCTGCTTTCGACGCTGACATTCAGTACATGACGTAGCCAAGCGAACGGGCTGCCCCGTGGCTGCTTGATGTACCATTTCTGAGATGGTCGCCAATGGAGCCGCTAGAGACGGTTAGACCGGATTACTTGAGATGAAGATCATATCCTTCCTAGAAGCAGTAGGCTGGATATGATCACCATGCTTTCAAGAGTCAACTGAGGACTCCTCTGCCCGAATACGTCGATATGTCGCTTGTGACCGATGGATCGGGGATCTGATGCGGTGCGTGGATACTGGATACTGCTCCGTCCGTACTGCAGTCGGGTAGAAGTCAGTCCCGCGGTTCGCGTGACGGCCCGGTAGAACTAACCAAAACCGGGTAGCTATGGGGTACCCGGGCTGTCGTGGGAGCCTTGAGGGCTATCTGGGCTATAGGTATAGTAAACAGTGAATAAAACCTCATTTGAAAAGTCTTCAATGATCTCTTTCTATAGGGGATGCATCAGATGAAGAGTTTATATTCTACTCCTTACCACCTAGTATTATGTCTCATCTTCGGAAAATGATCTTGGTCCTCCAAGATGATGTTTTGAAGAATGCTAAATATGTTGATAGCCTCGACCTTGTTCTGTAACACCGCCGCTTCGTTTCAAGAACTTGACCTGACTCAATCCCTTACAAGCATTTTGCCTAGTCACACCTGGCTTGCAGATCTTCACTAAAACCAAAATTGAGCATATGATACCTTTCAGCGCCCACAACCATCGATACGCGCCCGCCTCCAGATGCCCCCCCGGAATCCTTGGCGGGGGCTTGTCAACATACCCCTCGTGCTGCGGACGAGTCAGCTGTAAGGCTCTGGCGCCCGCGCTGAGCGGCAAACGATTGTGCTGTCTCAGCTCATAAGTACCAAGTCAGTCGCCCTGATCTGCGCGACGCAGGAGCTGTGAGAAATTATCCGAGCAACTGCAGGCTGTTGCTCTCTGACATGAGTCCCTGTGCCTCATTCAGCTTCTGAATTATCATACCCACCCTTTAGTGTCCAGTATACGGTCTCGCGACTGCCTGTCGCTGGCCAGGATAAGAAATGTCAGAGCCTACGACATCCAGCAGTGGCCACACACCTCAAGATTGTTATTCCAGTTTTACTCAGAAACCAAGTATCCAAGATAAATTTCGCGACATTGATGATGCCAGCAACCTGAAGCACTATCGGACTCTTTTGCAAGACCCTCAAGCAAGAAATTTTGTGCTCGACTTCGGCAATGAAGATGCATGGTGTGCTGTGAACTTGGACCAGGAAGAGATAGCGCTACTACTGCGCAAGCCAGTATGTTGTCAACGGTAGCTTGATGCCATTTGAATAAGACTAAATGTGGATGATGCTTAGAAGCCAAATTGTTATGGTACTCGGTGGATGTAAGTATAAGCGTTATCGAACACGAATGGAGACATGCTCAGCGAGGTTCACCAGTAATATATGGGCCCCCGAGCAGCAAAAGGATTTGATAAAGGTCAGCCTAGTCTCCAATGGGTCACCATGTCTCCACTAACGTTCTCAGTCCATCACCAGTCACTATGGTGTATCGGAACGGCTACAGGGCATGATGTGCACAGACCCAGTCGAGCGTCCATCGAAACCTCCGGTCCCTGCTGAGCCTTCACGAACTAGCTACTCTAGACACCGCGACCGGTTGCCCTCAAATCGATTGAACGACCTCGAAGAAGGCAATGCACTCAGAAATTTGACAAATCCGGAGGAGATTAGCGCACTGGCATCGTTCAGGGGTCTCACCTTTGCCCACGTCATCGACCAAATATGGCATTTTTGCTCGGTGGATTATGGGCCAAGGTGTATGTCCAACTTTATTGAACTGCTGGAGCCAGATTTCTTACGGATGACAGATACTTGCGTCGGTTACAATTCGATCTATGTGATCCCAGGTCATGAGATGGACAATGGGAAAGACTTACCGGCTGGTAGGCGGTTATGGTCCTGGCTAATTTTGTGCGATGATGGTAAGAAGCATTTCCCTGATCGCTAGATTCTTAATAATGAGTTGTACAGGGACTGTCATAAACATGCAAGAGAATCCGTTTCCTGGCCTATCAGGCCCGTCGGAGAAAGAAATCAAGGCTGTCCTTGGTGTGGTTCGCCGGAACCTGCAACTTATCTTCTCCGGGGTCTCCAAACACCACCCCGCCTCCTCAGAAAGCGACTCCTTAGTGACGATTCGGGTGCGGCCGTCCTCCGAGGCGTGCCCGGAACAGACGAGCATTAGACAAGAAGACGGGCCGAGCTTACTTTTCTACTACATCTTCGATGACTGGGTGTCATCCTATGCCCTTGTGGCGAAACGTGAGCACAAATATGGCGTCGCTTTAGACCGGCTGGTATGTGGACCAATATTCCCTCTCAGTCCTTTGTGGTGAACGTGTCATTCCCTCGCAGCGTTTTACAGAGTTAACACCTCGAGGCAGAGACAAAACATGCTAGCCAAGCCGGTCGTGGACCTGATTGACGAATTGCACTGGCTGGGAAGGCGATTGGCAGTCCTCAAGCGTCTCTACCAGAGCTACGAGCTGATCATGATGCGCATTCTTCAACGACAGCGATCACTTCATGATAAAGCACGCTACAATTACCCTCAACTGGCTCTCGGACAGACATTTGGAGACAACGACTCCAACGATGCTCAACAACAATCCATGCAGAACAGCTTTAGTCTTTCAAGTATCCCAGATGGCTCGGTTGGGGTACCTCTGAGCTCCGCAGCTGTGGCTCGGTTCGAGAGGCTGGTTGACCGCATCAAGCTGTATTGTCTCTCTGAAATTGAGGCATGCTTGACAGAGAAAGAGAATCTAACCTTTTTGGTACGATTCAAATTTATCTCTAGACAAGACTCCAGGGAAAGCTAACATTTTGTGATAGAATTTCAACTTGATAGCGCTCAAAGATTCGCAGGCTGTGGAGAAGCTGACCAGGATCACTATCCTTTTGGCGAAAGTGACGATCCTATTTCTACCGGTCAGCCTGATGACGGGGTATTTCTCAACGGAACTTCAGAATGTCAAGGGCGAATACACAATCACGCAATACTGGGCCAGCTTCGGCGTCATTATGTTCCTGTCCTTTGTGTCACTTGTCTTCTTCGGTTATGTCAGTGACACTGTGGAAGGCAGGCCGATCTACGAGTCGTTGTTCCAGAAGTTCTTCCGGGTATCTCGAAGCAAAATCTCACCCAGTCGCAAAGACATACGAGATACATGAAGCCACCTCACCCATCTTCAAGGATATGGACAAGTCAAGAGGCCATGATTGATGAAGATGGACATGTACTGTACAATATGGGATTCTCAGCCGAGGGACATTATGCTCGCTGACTGATCTACGTCTGCCAAGTTCAATAAAACATTGTTTGCATTTTGACTTTCTATCACCCATGCATAGACCCAGAGTGACTGACGGTTCTTTCATGTGAAGGCTTATATGCCTGGAAGATCAGGCACTGCCGCCGCCTGAAGCTTGGGATATAACTTTGTCACTCTTCCCCCTTGCAACTGACCGATCACATGACAACTGAGCTTATTATCCTGCTGTCAAAGTTCTACCTTTCTATCTTTCTTCCTCAAGCACCTTTGATGTTCATTTAGTCATGTCTTATTTCTTCCCACCCCGGCAACCTTCCCAGGGTGAATGATTTTCTACGAGTTGGCCTGAGGACTGGATCAAGCTGACATCGTTAGATCATCAAGCTAGATGGTCACGAGATTATGGCAACCGAGATTGAGCTATTAGATCGACATCGAACAGTCTATCGTTTAAAACTTGAGCCAGGCTCATATCGGCATACAATTCCCAAGACAGCCACCTCTGTTATTGTTAAGCAACAGAAAGATGAATGGGAAGAAGAGTTCAAGGATGAGCAGAGGGCCTACAACAGTTCAAAGAAGCTCCAGGGGAAAGTGATTCCATACTTTATGGTCGGGGTCATTTTGATGGACGACCTGCACTCGTACTATCGGATGCTGATGGGATTACTTTGGATGAATTGGCCCGCAGCAACTACGAGGTCCCCGAGGAGACATTAAGATCTTCTCTGGAGGAAGTCTTTAGTGAGTTTTCGAAGCATGGAGCTTTGTACCGAGACCAGAAGCTGGATAACTTCTTGTTGTGTGATGGCAAAGGCCGCGAGAAGAGCAGAGTGATGGTTGTTGATCTTGAGCAGGTGGAATTCCCTGAGCATCTTCGTCCTTGGCAACATTCTATCAACCAGGAGGGAGCGAGGTCTCTGATGGAAGAGTTTAGATACAGACGTAACCCCGGGCGCGAATTATCTCCACTTGAGTTCTGGATGTCTGGGCATGATAAGGGTGTCTCCCTCGGCGAGCTAAATGATTTTGCACCCGCGATCTGTCAAGAAAGTCTTGGGAGGCCTGCTTCTACCACGGCTTGAGCAAGATAGAGAAAGAAGGAACACTGTGCCATGCAAATATGATATGGCATTGGTTTCACACTGGGGAGAACCTAGTATAGAAGGAACCTCAACGAAGTAATTCCTTGTATGATTGATATACTGTATCTTCTACTTAGCATTCCCGGGGTTGCTTAGATCTGCTTGCAAGTGAACGCGGGGAAAGAGATTTAACATATCCAGAGTAAGGACTTAGCTGCTATACTTACCCTTGTCAAGATCAGTCACTCAGTCTGCTCCATGGTCAATTATTATGGAAAGATCACTATAATCTCGCTAGCTGAGATCCTCATTACCCCAGTTTATGGCTTGGTGTTCTTGGTGCCAGACACCCTAGAGACTTGGTCTTGAAGAAAGGATATGGTATGGACGTGCCCCCTGTAGCCAATGTCTTACAGGGTAAAGATGGCATGTCAAAGACCTGGTTCATGACCATATCATTGTGATGATTCTTAATACAACATGAGGGGGATACGATAAGATTATCGTTGTGCGGGGTCCCGCTACATTCTACTGTAGCCTTGGTGTGGAGGTCTACCAAGGCGGTAACTCACGGCAGAGTAGGTAAAGGGTCACGGCCACAATGAGCTATATAGAACGGGGCAACACCTATTATCAGTTGGTATACTCATGTATATCAGAATCAACACATACAGTACGTCATCGGGATCTAGCTTTAACTCATATCATAGTACCATTATACTAATTATGTATCGCATCCTCAAACTTCGCCAGCGCCTCGAACCACATATTTCAGATTGCGTAGTTGAGGGTGGAGGCTTCACCACCTCTCGTTATGGAGATGCTTCAAGTAGGTAACTGGATACTCAATCCGTGATGATGTCTAATATGCCCAATTTCGAGAAGCAGGAGAAAGGCTAGATGCCTGGGGCTTGGTCTGAGATAGATCAACTTTGCATTGCTTGTTTTTGAACTATAGGACCGCTATTGAGGCTTTCATTCTTCTTCAATAATGCGATGAATCGAACTATAGCCGAGCACGATGGAGGTGTATGGCAGAGACAGCTATTACTTCTGGCTTCCGCACAAGATCTACCCGCTAAAATCATTCGTCTATTTTATATCGAAGCTCTCTTTCGCTTGGCTCATACAGGTATGACGCTTGAACGCGGGCTTTGTATACCAGAAATAGATCGCAAATATGGTGCAATTTGAACCAGAGAAGGCAGCTTATGGTAAGCCTAAAAATGACACAAACGATCTTGCCTCTTCAGCCGAATATTGAGAACTTCTGCAAATTGTGAGCCCCCGGCACCAGGAGACGTTCATAGTTAAAGCATGCTTGATGAGGACCTCGAATGTGCTTTAACCTTCATTGATATCTGCTTCCTCGATACACTTGATGTCCACACATCTTATGTGTTTCCTAATGGAGGGAGGGATGCACATCCACCATGAAAATCTCGGAACAGCATAGACCGGCACAATCTTCTCAGGAAGTTCAGAACAGTGTAATATACTGGTCAAGTCTCTGGAGTATATCAAGCAGATATCTGGGAGCATTTCATTAAACTTGATATTCCAAGAAGGAATGATTCTGATCTCTTCTGGTATAAGCCTGGCCAGCCATGTGTTGGCTTTATCTTTAGATTGCCCATTGCTGCGCCTCGAGTTGATATTGCTGTACTATACTGATACTGTACTCTGTATTGTACAGAACACCGACGGAGGGACTTGTGGGTGAAGACTGTATGAGAGGCGGTAACTTTACCGCGTAAGATAGTAAGAGTCGATGAACGGAAAACAACGTGTCCTCTTCTGGTGGCCAGGCAGAAACCGATCTTCGATAATGCCAGGGTTCTGTCAAGCTCTCCAGATTGTACCTAAATGATCCAACAGTTGGCATAAATGAAGAGTATCATCTTCTAATGATTGACATCAATTGATTCTATAAATATATAGTATACGCTTCAAACGTCAAAGTTACTCCATCTACTGTACGTACGGTACACGAAAAACAGTCGGTAAGTATTTAATTGATTGTTTTTGGCCGGTTTCAGTTAGTGACGGAAGCTACGCCGGCGGCTGAACTTCTCGACCTGGTCACTGGTCACTCGCTGGCAGTTTTGCTCACCCAAAATTTCCTCCACCCCTCGAACGAACCAACAAACAGAGGGCCTGCTCCATAACAGACCCGAACCTGAACCTGACCTGACCTGACCGAACCTGACCCTCTCTGCTGTTTCCAGTCGGGCGGGCGGTCGCTGGTCTCTTAGTGCCTCTCTGTCTCTATCTCTGTCTGGTCTCGTTCCCACACCATTCCCACCCCCCTCCCTCTCTGTATCCACGCCCATTCCTAATCTCCCTCCCTCTTTCCCTTCCATCTTCAAACCACATCGGTAAGTACGTTTTTGCCTATGTTAATGGTTTATGTCTGCTTGGTCAAGTTGTCGTTGTGTCTCTTGTCCTATCCACCGCCCCTCCCCTCAACTCCCTGACCAGGCTGGCTCTGGTCTTTGTGTCTGGTTATTTCGCCTCCCTCTAATTCCACTCCCCCTGATTTGTCTTGCCCGCCGTGTTTCCCCGGCGTGACTACCTTAACCTGACGACTTCCACCCCTCGTTGTCGTCCACCTCTTATTTCCCCTTCGTCATACCACTGTCCTGCTCGCTCTCATATATACCTCCTCAACCCCTCATCACCCGACCCGTGATTGAACAGCAGGGCACTCCCGCAATCGTGCTCGCATTCTTACACTCTGTCCTGTCTGGTCGCATCTAACATCCTCCGCGCTCACCATCTAGAACCCTGAAGATACACCACCACCATCATGGGTATCACCTTCTCCAAGATTTTCGACAGACTATGGGGACGCAAGGAGATGCGGATTCTGATGGTCGGTCTCGACGCTGCCGGAAAGACCACCATCCTGTACAAGCTCAAGCTCGGTGAAATCGTCACCACCATCCCCACCATCGGTCAGTCACCCTATTCGACTATTGTCTCGAGAGCAGCGTGTCTCTGCTCACCCAGCGCATGGGTTCATTGCTGAGTTGGCTCGCTGACACATCTTGGGAATTGTTCATGCAGGCTTCAACGTCGAGACTGTCGAATACAAGAACATTCAGTTCACCGTCTGGGACGTCGGTGGTCAGGACAAGATCCGTCCTCTCTGGAGACACTACTTCCAGAACACCCAGGGTATCATTTTCGTCGTCGACAGCAACGATCGGGATCGTATTGTCGAGGCCCGCGAAGAGTTGCAGCGCATGTTGAACGAGGATGAGCTCCGTGACGCCCTGCTCCTGGTCTTCGCCAACAAGCAAGATTTGCCCGTATGTGCTCCAACGCTTACGATTTGAGGAATGATGATATTGACGGTTTTATCTCTCAGAACGCCATGAGCCCTGCCGAAATCACCCAGCAGCTCGGCCTGCAAAGTCTCACTCGCCGCCCCTGGGTAAGTTTGGAAATCACGTCATCTTGGTGCCTCAGGTGTTGGTGCTCGCTTACTGACCCTTGACCTTTTTTAGTTCATCCAATCCACCTGCGCCACGACTGGTGATGGTCTGTACGAGGGTCTGGAGTGGCTCGCCGAGACGCTGCGGAAAACCAACCGCGACTAAATGGATATAATGATTGGAGGTATACCTGGAAGCGTGTGACGGGGCCTGTTGCAGATGACATGACTGGAAACAAGGGGAGACAAACCGGGGCCGACCTCGTGTGTAGTGTGGAAAGGGAAATGCTACTTTGGTGGTTCTTGTATGTTCTCTTACGGCTCTTCATTCCTCTATGCTATTAGCTTTTTACTTTTTTTTTTCTTTACTCTCTCTTTCGCCATCGATAACTGAATGTCGGTGTGGATAACAACGATAATTTCTCTCTACGACTCTTCTGCCGGCGGACTTCCTGCCACGGAAGCCCGACGAATGTCTCATGGATTGCACTGAGAGCACGGTCGACTCAGTCCAATCATTGTATCTCATTATCACCGCAGGAAGAGGGTGGAATTGCAACATGTAGAGAGTTGACGCACGTGAGTGAAAACAATAAATCAATGTGATGGGTCCGGACTCTTGCTAGCTTGTGAAAGCTTATCTACAACTTAACCTGAATGTATGCAGCGTGATATCCAGGACCGCCCGACGCCAGCGCCAGCACTATCACCGTGCATCTTGCACCTCGCCCCTTTATAAGCCGGCTGCCGTGAGATCGACTAGGATCCCGTAAGTGCAATCCTCCATCCGCTGTACGTTCTGTCGTCGTTTCCATCATCGAATATTCCTGGCTAACTCATGATAGAATCGTATCCCGCTGATGACGGCGGCGGAGACGGTAATACAATCACTGACGCTTAGGACCGTTTCGGTTGCTCATCTACCACCACCACCACCACCACCACCACTCACAAGCACTACACCCACCAAATCATATACTCACCCACCCTGCAGCTTTCCTCCTCGCCACCTCTCCCACCCCTTGCCCCTAGCCCCTCAGCCCCCGCGGGCCTCACGACGTCTCACCACCCCGGCAGGCATGCACCGAATAAAACTAATTCTCCAAAGCATCCCCAGGTGCATTCACCTCCGCAACTCCGTCCCACTCACCCACCACGCCGCCGCCCGGATAATCTCGAGCACACAGTCCAACTCCTCGGCGTCGCGCGGCGCATACACCATCACAAACCCGGGCGGCACGATGCGCAGCCACCACCACCAGCTGTCGCGGGCCAGCGGGTGCCGCTGGCCCCAGCCGCGCTCCAGCACCAGCTTCACGTCCGCCGGGTGCAGCGTCAGGTGCAGGCTGCCGTCGCTCGGGTGCGCGTGACACACCTCCCCGTTGCAGGTGAGGCGGTGGCGGCGTTGTTCTTGTTGGTGGCTATTGTTGTTGACGCCGGGGTTTGATACTTTGAGGGTTTGGGGGGAGGTGGTGGTGTTGTCAGTACTGCAGGCAGTGTTGCCGTTCCCGTTCCCGTTCCCCGCGCAGAACATCCCCGTGCTATACTTCTCGAAGCACGAGGTGCCCGTGTATAGCGTGTCCGGGTGCTGGGCGACCAGGCGGTGGATCTCGGTGGACAGCGTCTCGTAGATCGCGGCGTCGCTCTTTTGGGTCGTTTGGCGTTGCGGCGCGATCCCTGTGACGGTGGGGCGGGGGCCGGCGCGCGGGGGCAGGTGCGAGGCGCGAAGCAGGCCTTGTTGCGGGTGGACGCAGGGGGGGATCGTTGGGGCGAGTAACGGGTTGCGCAAGATGAAGAGCCGGAGGATGCAGATCCGGAGGTAGCCCGCTGGGGTTGAGGGGGTGCCTCCTGGTCCCAGGGCGAGGAAGGCATGGTAGTCTTTGCGGATCGTGTGGAGGAGGTAGAGGGTTGGGAGGAGGAGGAGCAGGCATGTTGTTGTGGTGGTGGTGGGGTCGAGGGTGAAGATTAGGTGGTTGTGGTTGGGGTTGGGGTTCAGGTGGTGGTGGTTGAGATTGTGGGCTGCTGGGGATAGGTTCGATGATACTGCTGCTGCTGCTGGTGATATCTGACAATGGGGGACAGGTGCTTGTCAGTGATTGTTCTACTGGGTTCATGCTATTATGTGTGGGTACGAGGGAAATAGGCATGGGTGCGAAGCGTACCATGATGTCTGTCTTTCTTTCTTTGTTGATTGGTCTCGATACGAGGTGAGTCGGTTGCTGATGGGGGGCTCTGCGATGATGGTTCAGGTTTGAAAGAGAGGGTGGGCTGAACACTCGATCACCTATCTCAATGCGCTGCAGAGCACAGCGCCATTCACTGTGTTCTTGCCCCGGGGCAAAGGGGGCACCAGGGCTGGTAAGCTCGTTTTTATACTTCTGCTCCAAGGGGGTGAAGTAAGGTAGGTGTCATATCGTGACCCAGCTCCGTCTCTTTTCTCCACAAATACGACAAAGAGAGAGCTCGAGGCACACAGGAATGGCTGGAATGAAGGCGCGGTACTGAGGGGTGGTCAATGTAGGTAGTCAGTAGGTCCCGGCAGGTCTCATGCTGCCACGATAGTTTTTTTTCTTTTCTTTTTTCTTTTCTTTAATAGAATCTACGGCAAAAGGTGGATATGCACTGCTGAGTGCAGCCAGGTGGACCAATAAAGGTCACAGTTGCATCACACCGCAACTAATACTCCGCAGTCCAGAATGTGATTCATACATGAGTACATTGAAAGCTGCTCATCAATAGCTCGGCTATTGCGCGTGTTGTGGTTTAGTTTTGTGTGGATGGAATGGAAGGAACGAAGGAAGGAAGTAAGTACTAGGTACCGTCGTCAGTGTGATGTATGCTGGCGAAAAGAAGCTAAGGTATGCGGATGAAGCAGCAATGACTAAATGTCGAAGTAACCTCTTCGAACATAAAACCTCCCCCAACAAGAGGTTCGGAGGATAAGAAGACGGAAAGCGTCGGGCCTCTCCAAAGCCACGGTATGCCGAAGCTGTCAGCGGATGAGCTGTTTCGTCAAAAGACGCTCCTTTCTTCCTGGTCGCAGGAATAGGAATGCAACACGAGGTGTGGTGTGGGAGGTGCCGTGCAGATAGAATTATGTTCCCATTGACTCTTGGGGGGCCGCTCGCTCTTGTTTCTGGGCATCTACACAGTAGGAGGCGTGTCGCCCAGCGAGAAGTGGAGTCCAATCTCATCCGAACCGGGGTAATTGTGGGCCCTGGAGCACGGTGGTTTCTTTCATTCCCAGTGCCGGGTCCTTGGAGGTCATGCCATTTAACCTTGAAGGCAGGATTAGACTCGGTTGTGGGAGAGAAAGATTGTTAATTCATTCGTTGGTTGAATGTGAATGGGGGCCCGTTTTTGGGGAAGTGAGGTCGGAATTATCAGTGACATCACCGCACTTGATGGTTGCAGATAACGGGTTTTCCTCCTGCTTCCCCGAAAGTGCCTGGCGCTCGCCTTGGGGATTTAGTTGGGATTCAATCCCTGTGGAAAGAGCTCTACCTGCTTCTGGTGAGAAACATATTTAGTACATAGTGCAGGTGACTTCGCTACTTGAGTTTTTCTCTATCGTGTGACCTTTTCTTGAGTTGAGTGGAATAGTTAGTTAACTATGTGGAGTATGTACTTAGTAATAGCCTAACTTACTAACTAACACGAGTGACTGGAAGCTTGCTGCTGCTCTGCTGCTGCTTGCTCGGACAATGCTTGATGCCTGGAGTTGCCTCAGGCTGGAAAATATCCCAGAGAAGCTTAGCGCATTGAGACAGGGCGCTAATCCTGATGTGGACAAGAAAGGTCGAGCCCAGTCTGTGTCTCGAAGAAACACAGCTCGAGTTCTTGACTTCTTGGAACTACTGTACCATGGAACTTCATACTTACTTTCACAGCCATGCAGCCTTTTAACTTATCGTTTATTCCATACTCGATTCTATCCTTGTATACTCGTGAAAATAGGCATGGCAAATAAAGACTGATCCTCTTCAGAATGGAACTCATCCAAGGTCTAGAGATGGCCCCGCCAAGATGATCAAGTCCAGCCTAGTGCAGCAAGCGCTGGTTGTCGTCTCTTGGGCAACGACTGGCGCCGATCTGCCAAACACTACGCCATATACTCCGTACCACCGCGCAGACTTGTGTTTTGTTGACAGTCAGTCTGAGAGCTTTCAACCGTGTTGAGCTCCTCGGTCTGATCAATTGTTATTGATCGGCTCGATCCAAGTCCTGGGCAATTGGACTTGAACGTGAGTGCTCTTGTTTTTAATTGTTCCCACGTCCCCATCGGGAATCTGTGACTATAGATCGGTGGACAACGATCAGTCACCCACTTTCGGGCGAACCGTTCTGACACTGCTCAAGAACAGGTCGGCATGTGGGTTCTTCATTGTCAGACATGTATGATTCAATCGCTCACTAACCTTGACACATGATAGTTGCTAAATCTTGACCTTTCCATTCCTCGGATCTGCTGGCGCCGTTCAATCGATCGCCCTGCACGGTGCGCATTCCTCTGACGTCGTTAACGCCCACCTGTTCATGCTGTGTCCACCATGCCCATTCGAGCCAAAAGGCATCCAGCCTCCAAAACGGTTCATGCACGGTACTCAAAGAAAAGTCGCAATGTGATGGTGGATATAGAGAAACAACCTGCACGCCCTAAACGTCACTATCGCCAATATAGCCAGAGTTCATATAAATCCGATACGGATACTGAGGATGACTCCACCAGCTCCTCCTCCGCTTCTTCGTTTCGCCCTATGCTGAATGATGCGCCGGCGCGCCGGCCGCCTCGCATTGGGTTGGGCTATCGCGTCCCCCACCGAGTCATGCGATGGCTCTGCATGGGGTTGCTTTCATTCCTCGTGCTTTTCATTATCGTTCTGTTTCGATTTACATTTCTCTCCACTGTTAGTCGGGTCAATGTCCCGCTGCCCAAGCCTAGCGCCAAGCCGCCCGCTTGGGAAAGCTTTCCCTTTCTCAAGCGCTATCATGGGGGCATCCGAACCTTGGTCACGCGCGCAGAAAATGTACCCGAGTATCCCAACGACAGCTTGGAAGCGATGGATGCTGGCAACACTGACTCCCAGAACAATACCAGCATCTCGAAGCGCGACCAAACCGTACCCTTTTCAAGCTTGGTCTTCAACCCGTACCCTGACTACGCTT